TCACCGGCGGTGGCTCTGGCGGCAGTACTCCCCCATACGTGGTTTCACCATTCCAAGCAATCCAAGAGCGGATTTCCAAGAACCGAGGCATTCTACGATGGGACTTCTACTCTGAAAACCCCTCTCCACCCTACGTCAACTCCGAAGCCTGCCTTGTTTTCATCAACGCGTATGCCTCTGAGAGCTTTGATCGCCTGAGCCTCACAGACGAATTCAGCGACAATCTTGTACAGAACGTAGCCGCAAACTGTTCCAATACTGTGGTCGTGATCCACTCGGCAGGTAAGTGAAAATACAGCGAGACATATTTACTGCAGGGGCTTTTTAGATGCTAATGAATCCCAGGCATTCGCACTGTTGATGCGTGGATCGAACACCCTAATGTCACTGCCGTTCTTTTTGCCGGCCTTCCTGGCCAGGAGAGCGGCCACAGTCTTGTGGACGTATTATGGGGCGACATTAATCCCTCTGGAAAGCTGCCTTTTACTATTGCTCGGCAGGAGTCGGACTATGGAAGCCATCTCAACTCCAGTGCGACGGACGACTTTTTCCCTGACAGTGACTTCACTGAAGGCCTGTACATCGATTACCGTTACTTCGATGCACACAACATCACTCCTCGCTATGAGTTCGGCTATGGCCTCTCATATACCACTTTCAGCTTTGCTGATTTGTCCGTTGTGCTCACGGCAGACGCGGATACATCAGAATATCCCGACCCCAATGTGCCGATTGTGCAGGGTGGCCATCCATCACTGTGGGAAAATGTCGCAGTTGCAAAGGTCTCTCTCACCAATACAGGTGACATAGATGGGGCGGAGGTTGCACAGCTGTACATCGGAGTTCCGGGTGACGACACGCCTATTCGACAGCTTCGTGGCTTCTCCCGTGTCTTTCTTTCTAGTGGGCAGACACAGTCTGTCGCGTTTGAACTCACCAGACGTGATCTTAGCATCTGGGATGTCGAAGCTCAGCAGTGGCGTTTACGCCGGGGAACTTACAAGCTATGGTCTGGATCATCGAGCAGAAATTTGGTTCTGGAGGATATTATTGAGATTCAGTAGCCTACTATAATTTATCCAGTAATTAGCCCTCGAGGGAGGCTGTCAATAATTCAATGATATAGGTACTTTGTCTCATTCATGCATCGTCTACTCACTTTTTGTCTGGTGATTGCGTCGTTGGGAAATTAGTGATGTGTCGACTTCATCTTTTAGATGTAGACAGGGTGTTGTTGACATGATCAGAAAGCCACATGAAAGCCTCGTCCCCTGCATATCTTCGATGCAACGCCACATAATGGGTTGCAGACACAATGATGCCCTTAGCCACGTCCTACCTAGCGTAGGTAGGTAACATCATGCGCTGACTAAGGCCAATTCATTGCTTTACTTTTCTGCCTCCCATTCCTTATTTTCTTCTTTTCATCGCGACAAGTCACCGTAAAAGCCCTCCGGTACCAACATAAATACCTCCCCATTCAACATGACTTCGAAATCATCTCAAATCAATCTAGATGCGGAGATCATCTATGAATATCATCGAATGCACATGGCCGTCAGCCCTGCTAGTGCCATCTTCTGCCTTTGCAGTCTCGACACACGGGTAGCTACACGCGCAGCACAGCTTTTCCTCGCCGGCTACGGAGAGTATCTTATCTACTCTGGCGGATCAGGCAAGCTTACGGAAAATCGATTTTCAGAACCAGAAGCCGAGATATTTGCAGGTATTGCAAGGGATTTAGGGGTTCCGGCCGACAAGATTATCGTGGAGCCGAACTCTGGCAACACAGGCGAGAATGTTCGGTTTACTCATGCCCTTTTGAAAGAGCTAGAGCTGGAGGCCACGAGCTTCGTGCTAGTCCAAAAGCCATATATGGAAAGGAGAACATATGCAACCTTCAGCAAACAATGGCCGGACCCCAAAACAGTGTTCACTGTGACAAGCCCTGAACTGGGGTTTGCCCAGTATCCGAATGAGGAGAACCCTCGCGACTTAGTTATTGAAATCATGGTCGGGGACTTGGTGAGAATCCAAGAGTATCCAGCAAAGGGCTTTCAAGTTGAGCAAGATATCCCTTCCGAGGTTTGGGAGGCAAACCAAAGGCTCATAGAAGCTGGCTACGATGGGCATTTACCTTGATTAATGACTCGTTTTATGAAAAGAATCCTGCAAGCCATTTCTTTCAATTGTGATTCTGAATGCGAGCTTCTTCATACGATACCTAAAGTTATAGCATCCCTGGTTCCCAGTGCTCAACATTGCTTCTACCAATCCTATGTTCACTCTTCATCCGGGCTTCCGAAATCCGCCCTTGCTTGAGATGCAATGGTATCATCAACGAGCACCCTTACGGCAAGCATTGCCATACCCTTAGCGCATGTAAGAGCCGCCTTATGAGCTTCGTCAGTTGCAGCAGCAGCAGCGAATTTAGGATTATGGCCAGCCACATCTGGCGAGGTTGGGATGACGAAGGCGCCATGGAAGCTAGGCACGTGATAAGACACATTTCCCATATCCGTTGAGGCGTTGAATGGCTTTGCCTGATGAAGCTGAATCGTTTGACCGATCGCGGCCATATCTTCCACATATGCCTTGCATAGGGTATCATTAGCTCGTAGATTCATGTACGTCGGCGCCCTGTAGACACCGCATCAGTAGAGTTATAGAAGTTGCAGTGGTCATGGCATTTACACAATGTAGTTGATCTCACAGCCCGTCGCGGCTGCGCCTGCTTCTAAGCATGCCTTGACCCTGGTCGACAGTGCATCGGCACGCTCGATTGTTGGGCTGCGGACATTCCAGTTCATGCGGGTATAATCCGTGATGACGTTGGGAACGGTGCCACCGACTTCGATTACGCCATGGACTCTTTCGTCTGACTGGATTTGCTGCCTCAGGAGAGCCACGTTGCTGTAGGCTGCTACAGCCGCATCTAACGCATTCAACCCTTTCCATGGCTCGCCTGCTGCATGAGCGGGCTTCCCACGGAATTCAACGCGGAACTTATGGCTCGCAATGAGTTTAAAGCCTGCCAGTCCCGAGGAGCCATCTCCACTGCCGCCCTGATGAGCTGCGGTTGGGTGCGCCATGATGGCCGCTGCGATATCCTCGGGCGGGTTGAAGGCACCGGCATCAATGAGCTTCGCTTTACCGCCTCCCCCTTCTTCGGCTGGGGTTCCGAGAATGCGTAGGCGGCCAGGGATCTTCAAGTCAATGAGTGTGCGAGCAGCCCCCAAGAAAGCAGCAATTGAGGACGTTGCAATCAGGTTATGCCCGCAGGCATGGCCTATGTCTGGTAGGGCATCGTATTCAGCGCAAACGACGACTTGACGGCCGCCACTGCCTACTTCGGCCTCAAAGCTCGTTTCGAGGCCATAAGTATGCTTTTTGACGGAGAACCCTTGCTTTTCTAAGTAAGCCGTAATGATGTCGTGGGCAAAGAACTCCTTATACGCAGTTTCTGGGTTTGCATGTAGCTGTTTGTTGATGTCGTTGTGAAGAGAATAGTCCAGGTCGTCGAGATGTGTGTTGATGATCTTGCGGGCCTGTTCAAAGTCAAAAGCCCCTTGCACTGGTTCGGGGGCCGGGTTAGCGCTCTGTTGTTCCCCAGCACCATTAGCGGCGACCGGGATTTGAATAATAGACATGGTGATAGGATCCGGAAGATGAATCCCTTACTCGCAGCGAAACGATTCCAAGAAATGTCAAAGACTGGTGAGTTATAGTCCGAGCTGGAGTAGCTTCTTTGATGAATGAAAAGTATACTGATGCTCAAAATCATTAACTTTTATGTTATAATTAAAGGTCTGACTCCAATAAATTTATTTGTTCCCGTCATGACATCTCCCACGCACTGATGTGGAGAGCTTGCGCTCCTCACCTGAGACCGGGGTGTCACCCATCGGCAATCGGTGCTTCCAGCCAGCCGACCTGGAGACCCTCCAGTCGCGCGACATTTTCCAGATAGGCACGGAAGATAGCCGATGGTCGGCAATTTTGGATTATTTCCATTCGATGAGACTTGGCCGCTACTCACCACACGTTTTTGCTAATGGCTAAAGTTCGTTACCTTGCTTCCAATCTGTCAGTCAGCTTCTTATCAATCCTTTCTTCTGCTGATATTACGGAATTCTCGTTCCACTTCCATATTTCATCGTCGGCTAATTCGATCATTCATGAGACCCAGCGGCGGCGCGCCCAAGGCATCGCAGTCATATCATCCACAGTTTCCACTCAAATTGTCCTTTGTTCCCCAGACGCGCCCGCGCACGCAGTACGTTGTTCAGTTGGAAATTTGGTGAAACACCCCAGCCCTCAACCTCCACTCAAGTGCTTCAGTTGAAATCCTCTACTCGCCGATACAGCCGACCTCGAATCAGTTGGCCAGACGACTACCAATGAGCGCTTCTCCCTCTGAAGCCGATGGGAGCTCACCCGGCAGCACAAGCTCAGTTTCAGCCGACAGTCTCCCCATTATTGCCGATGAACGGCCCTCCCTAGACGCCGCCAGATTTGTCGGTAGCACCGCGTCCGCAGCGGCGGCGACGGCGGCGCGCACGGGCGAGGGTCGGAGTGGACCACGTTCAAGAAATGGGTGTTGGACTTGCCGCACAAAGAAGGTCAAATGTGATGAGCAGCGGCCAAATTGCCATCGTTGCACACGACTGCGACTTCTTTGCGACTATGCACCTCGCGTCAAGCTTACAAAGAGGGGCAAGACACGCAAAGATCGGCCCTTCTCGTCTCAACCCGTCGCGTCGTCGTCTTCCTCGTCGGCTGGAGGAATTGGCACGTCACACAGCTTGCCGACATGGGTGCAGACAATGTCTCAGCTCGATCAGTCCAAGGCTCTATCTTTGTTCAATCCGTCGGCTCCGGGGATGGGGGCTTGCTCACTTGATCTCTCGTCGGCTGATCACGAGGCAATCCGGTACTTTCGCACATCCTTCGCCAAACAGAACCACACCAAGAACCCAGACTACTCGCTATATTCCATCATGTTCGACATCGCCCAGACCGATCCTATGGTCATGCATGTGGTACTTGCCCTCGGCGGCCGAGAGCTAGAATTCCGGCGCAACAAAAATGCAGAAGAGGCACGAGGCCCAAAAACGCCCATTCAGCATTACTCTTCCGCTCTCAGAATGATGGCCGACACCATTGGAGGCGAGGACAACGGTCAGCTGGATCTTGATGCAGTCTGTACAGGATTGTATCTCATGCTTCTCTACGAACAAAAGTATGGAGATGGGAAGTGCCAGGGCTTGTCCAATCATCTCGTCGGCGCGAGTTTGATATTACAACACCGCTTTAAGAATTTACTACTCCAATTACCAGCACCCTCGCCGGAGGCGAATCGGAAAAGCTTAGCCCTCACGAGGCGAGGAAAAGATGCGAGCAGTTCCCGGCTATCTCTGTACTCGGCAAGAATGCTTGTTTGGATCGCGCTACACGATGCCGCTGCCGCTTCATACGGCCTTGGCGGACAACTCAACTGCGCTCTACACAAAATTATGGGTGCCCTCGATGGCCAAGTTGGCAATGGAATATCCAGCCCGTTTCAACCGCTCGACGCCTTCGAGAGGTTGCATCGTTTCTCCAATCCACTTTACCGGAGTATGTGGGCTGATTCGTACCCCCAGGCTGAGCTTCTCGACGACGTGGAGAATAGGAATGTTTACGCTCTTTTGGGAGCATGCGGTCAATTGCGCTTCATGATTGCCCAGCTCGCCAATCTCATACATGAAGATGATACCTCGCAACAACAGCGCGTCATGGCTGTCGATGTGACCATTCAACAAGTGGGTTGGAAATTCACTGAACTACTGGAGGTCGCAGCAGAGCTTTCCATCAGCACGGATAACTCACATCGGCTAGTAGCCAACATTCGCGGCATCGTACCTCATTATCATGCCGTCGTTCTCGAATTCCTTCGTTTGACGCGATTTGACGCCACACCAATGCTCTCAGCTCGTCAACGGAACGCTTTGCGAGAAATCATGAATCTGGCTTTCCAGGCCTTCAAGCATGAAGGCGATGAGGCCATGACACGTATTGCGTGGCCACTCTTCATGGTTGCTCTGGAGACAGACGACTTACTGCACCGCGAGTGGGTTATCAGCCGCTTTCAGGCCATGAGTCGATTCAGTAAGAACCTCGACCGGGCCCATATCTTTCTCAAGGACATCATAGAGATGCAGAACAGTCTTGCGAGACGGGTAGACGTCCGCGAACGGTTCCAATCCGGCGAAGTGGGCCTCTTCGTTATCTGAGCCACCAGTATTAGTTCGGTGTTTGTCCGGTTCCCTGAAGCAGGCTGGAGTAGCGTCTCCGCTGCGATAACCATGATCCTTCAGAACTAAAGTCCGGCATATTTCCCCGCATTGTTAGAAGATGACATGGGCCGGCACGGCGGACATGTGGATCGGCTAATCTCTATGCCCGCAGAGCTGTGTCGGCTATCAGTGACAAGTTGACCAGCCACTTGTCAGAAGCATCGTATTGGAACACGACTTCCGGTGAGAGAGCTGTTGGTTCCGCGATGGCTTTACTATCAACCCCACAATATCTTCGCAAGTGGCCAATTCCGACACTTTCGTGAGGTTTTGACCGAGGCCGGACTCCCATCGAAGCGAGCAAGGTTGCACCAATTCCGTTCAAGCTTGAACTGCTTGGAACAACGAGCTTTCAGAGGACGGCGCATAAATAGCATGAACTTGTCCGCTAATCGAACTTGCAGTCTCGCTAAAGTTCACGGAGGCTCTCATCGTAAATCTTCTTGCCAAATTGTGTTGTTTCTTTCTGCGCCCGCGATTGGTGATCCTTACCTTTCAACATGTCAGAGAAAGATGGCAAGCCTCATCTAGGCCTGAGTCCAGCCGATGAGACATTGAAAGATGTTGCTGAAGGCACTATCTCGGTCCGAGGTCTGGCTCACAGCGAAGACAAGAGAATCCTACGAAGGATCGATTTATGGTAAATACGGAGTCCGGAATCAGCCTCTACCATGGCGAGACATATACTAATGTCGAGCCACAGTCTTTTACCAGTAATGGCCATGTCGTACCTTTTCCAATTTCTTGACAAATCTGCTCTTAGCTATACGGCTATCATGGGCTTGCGGGATGACTTGCATCTAAATGGTTCCGAGTACTCTTGGGCAAGTAGCATCTACTACTTTGGTTACCTCATTGCTTCGTACCCTGCAGGAGTCATGATGGTCCGACTCCCTGTCGGTAAGATGATTGCGGTCTCGGTGTAAGCACTTTCCCCTGGCCAACGAAGGTAGGACGCACCACTAACCGGCAAAGTCTTGTTTGGGGAGTCGTTCTCATGTTCACTGCGCTTTGCTCCAATGCTGGTGGTTTACTGGGAAACCGAATCATGCTGGGTGTTTCCGAGGCCGCCATCGCGCCAGGCCTTAGTATCGTCATCTCCATGTGGTACAAACGCTCAGAACAGCCTCTACGACATGGCGCCTGGTTCCTTGGCAATACTGTTGCTGGCATCTTTGGTGGGGTTGTTGCCTACGCTATCGGCCACGTCGATAGCATAGCTCCATGGAAGGTGCTTACTTCTTCTACAATCCGCCAGCGAATAAGTTGCTGATTCCTGCGAGTACAGGCCGTCTTTCTTATTTTTGGCGGAATCACTACAGCCTGGTCCTTTGCTATCTTTTTTCTCTTACCTGACACGCCAATGAAGGCTCGATTTCTCAGCGAAGCTGATCGGATCAAGGCCATTGAGCGCGTTGCGGAAAACCTGACGGGGATCAAAAGTGACATGTTCAAGTGGTATCAGTGCGTGGAGACCTTGACTGACATCAAGGCTTGGCTGCTCTTCGGCATCCAGATCAGCGCCCAGATTGCCAATGGTGGCGTCCATGGGTTCGGCTCCATCGTTATCAAAGGCATGGGCTTCAGCACTCTCAACACCCTCCTTGTGCAGATGTTGGGGTCGGTCTTTCAGCTCATATTTGTCTTGATGGCCACTGGAGGAAGCACCTACTTCCGCAATAGTCGCACCTATTGGATGGCACTGAACCTCGCGATCTCTATCGCTGGTGCTGCCATGGTTCGCCAGATACGATCAGAACTCAAGTGGGCACGGTTTATGGGGTACTGCCTCACAATCGCCTACAGTGCCAATTTCCCTGTGATCCTGTCCATGTCCTCTGGCAACTTTGGCGGATTCACCAAAAAGACTACAGTGAATGCGATGGTACGTATGACATTGCCATTATCAGTGGATCTGAGACTGATTTGAGTTTGATAGATTTTCATCGCCTACTGTGCTGGTAACATTATCGGTCCGCAACTATTCTTCGAGTGGGAAGCACCGTCCTACAGCTCCGGCTTCTTGGCTATGTTGATATGCTACAGTCTTGGAGTCTTGATGTGCTTCGTCCTTCGTTACTATTTGGTATGGGAAAATAAGCGACGTGACAGCATTGGGGAGGAGCTTGACACGGGCGTTGAAAATGACGTGTCTCTGAACCTACTGGATAAAACGGACAAGGAAATTCCCCAGTTCAGATATGTCTACTGAGCATGCGTCATATATCCAGAGGTAGATGTGGTACAGAAACTGCTGGTTGTTCCGCAAATCATTGTTTGATTACCAAAATCAATTGATGGTCAACGAGTTCATAGAAAAAGCACCATGTGCAGACTCGGTGCAACATCTGCGGCAATGAAGAGTTCACCGACAAGACAGATTACTCCAGCTCCCATACAAGCGGTTCCTCGTCCCTCATTGCGCGCCATTTGTTGGTCGCTCTCATGACATCCTCGCAACCCTTGAGCAAAAAGCTCCATTTCTCGACAAACCTTTCTGTGACCTCCCAACCATCAGGATGCCAAGGGTCTGACCAAGCAATGATACCCGGTTGATTAAGACAGGCATCGCCTTCTTGACAGCCCACTAAATCAGCGCAAAGTTCATGCTGGCTGTACTGATCACGGAACTTGATAGCGTTATCGCGCATGCCACCCGATGGGAAAATGTCAATCCAACATTCGTGGGGTGTCGAGCTTTGAGTGGGAGTAGGCATCAAAGTCTCTGGCACTTGACAAGGTGTCGGAAATAGTGGTGTTGTGTGAAGGTCTGGTGTGCATGGGCTTGTGAGCAGAGAGGTGAGAGATAGAATGTGAATGTTGGTAATGGTTGCCCTAAAGACATTGTAGAAGACCAACGGGATGAGGTGATCCTTATACAGAGGGAACCATGTAGTGGGATTCCGGAAGTACGGCGGCACACACTTTGCCGAACTATATTTGCCATTATGATGGTGATGTGTAGGTCGCTGTCTCTGTGCACACATCACAAAACCCTTCGCAGCGACACGCAGGTGAGTTCGGCTCTCGTCTCTTTCAGAACGAGGCTTTAGACAGCGGTGCGATCCAGCTGCAGGCTGCGTCGGTGGAGTCCAATGTACGAAATCTAGACTTGTTCCCGAGCTCAAAATAGGCCGTGACTCTTTGTGAGAAGTACCATATGGCACATCGGCCGTTGATGTTTTCGTCTGCTCATTTTGATACAATTCAAGGGCCTTTCGCTTTCCTGTGAGCCGCGTCAGCATTGTCTCGGTAGTACTGAGCCTGGTTGGGGCGCCTCATACTGTAGGCTCTGACATTGAGGCGATTCTGCCTCTTCCGTCTTTCCGCTCGATCACGAAGACCAGTCCAGTCATCGTCCCGGCGCAGTGCTTCCGAGGAATGAAGCATGGGTGCCGAGACAATCATTTGTGACCCCCTTTCCAAAGCGTGCATTGCGGAACTTGAGAAGTATGGAGCGGCTGACGCGTCAGATTCTCTAGTAAGCGTACTTCAACCAAACGGAAGTTACAACTCTTGATCAAAATGATCTGTGCAGATAGACGATGAGTTTGAGTGAAGCACGTTGATGGAATCTCAGACGAAGTTGCTGTTGGATCCTGCCAACTGCCAAGGATGTGTCAAGGGATTGTCTAGTTCCTTCATCCTCTGGAAGTGGAGCTCCTGCAATGGGCTTACAAGGCTTTCCCTCTTCCGGACGAACCTCACAATCAGCCTGAGATGCTCAAGACCAATAAGAGTGTTCTTTAATGTGGGGTCTTGCCGCTAAGGTCGTGGATGTTTTGATTGGTTTTCCCATCCATCTTTGTGCCAGGCCCCGATGCCCACGTGGTAGTAATACGTGTACCTCAATATGCCAGCAAGGATCAGGACGTCGTCGGAAAATTTGATCCGAAAGGAAACGAAGGGAAAAGCTCGGCTTTGGACATGCACTTTCATTGTTAGATTTGTCGGGAATGGAACAGCGGCTGGAGTTTAACCAAAGACGCTGTGATCTCAGACGAGCAGGCGCGACGGTGGTTCAAGCCATCAGCGTTTCGATTCCGAGGCTTTGGTAGGTTTGGCAGACTTTAGCGACTTTCCAACATGGCCCTGTAGACTTTGCTTGATAGAGTAGCTCCAAGCTATATTCAATGCCTTCTTTAATTACGCAAAGCGGCCTTCATAGGCCAACTGCATCGACACACGTCCGCGATCTAACTGACGTACGAGGGCGCCGCATATATCTTGCGACGTCATTATCCTCAGCCATGTTTGCTGCTCCCATAATCTAGTATGTTTGAGAATCTTGCCGATTTGAAAAAACTTTTTTCAGATTCCCATCTCGATCATAGTTTAAATAGATGAAGGGCACGAATATTCGAGCATGATTGGTGTCCCAATGGTTGATGGCGAACCACATCTAAACAGGGAGGGAATTGCCACCGCAATGATTATTTCCAAACTCGACATTGAGCAAGCGCGGCTGAACATGAGATTCTTTCGTCTTGCATAGCCCGAGTGCTAGGCTGCCAGGATGTGCAGAGTTATTGGCCAGCCAAGCCAGTCTTTCCGTAGCTGACAGCCGCATTGGTAACAGCGTCTTATCTGATCTCGACCATATGTCTCAGTGCTACCGCTTTGCGTCTAGCTGATCTAGTCTCATTTCTTTCACATACCATGCGAGCCCACACCAGTATTCTTCGTCGGCAAGGTGGGTTGGCCGAGAAGTGTACCTAGCTTGGAACCATGGGCTTGGGATCGGAGGCTGGACTCGTCTGGCTTCGCTTCTGGACCCCCCTGTCAACAAATCTCCCATAGGAACGCAGCGAGCCGGTGCTGCATCCCGAAGAGAAGCTGATGAAGCTACATCTAGACCATCTCGTGAGCTGGCCTTGACCCCACCACCATCGAGTATATTACACCCACGTTGGTCACCTCTTCGAAGCATCGTGTAACACTCGCCGGAACCCTCTTCACGACACTCCTTCAGTTGTGATACTGTCGCATTAGCGGTTTGCTTTCCGCAGCAGCATATTTTGTCTATCCTTACACTCACAAGAGTAACTTTTAACCCGCAATTCGGTCGACATTCCACCCAGGACCCGGCCCACTTCCCCAATCATGTTGAGACCCATTGGCACCGCCGTAACTTTGCTGGCTCTGCTGTCAACATCTCAGGCACAAATACCAAAAGTCAGCGGCTTCAATTTGGTGTGGTATGACGATTTCAGCGGCAAGGCCAACACAGTTCCAGACCAGAATAACTGGATTATCGACACTGGGACCAGTTATCCCGGCGGTCCAGCAAACTGGGGCACATCGGAAATACAGTCATACACCAACAGCCCCAACAATATCCGAGTAAATGGCGCTGGGAATCTTCAGATTACCGCCATCAAGAACCCTTCCACGGGAGCATGGACTTCCGGGAGGATTGAGACTCGCAGAGCCAATTTCATGGCGCAGCCGGGGAAAACCATGCGGATCCAGGCTAGTCTGAAGATCCCTAATCTAGGAGCCAACGCCGGTATTGGCTACTGGCCAGCGTTCTGGACCCTGGGCGCTGAATATCGTGGCAATTACTGGTAGGCTTCTTAACCCCGGCCTGCCCTAAACCTTTAGTCTAACCCATCTTGTCTAGGAACTGGCCGGCAGTTGGTGAGATCGATATCATGGAAAATATCAACAATCTTGACCGCGCTTATGCCGTCTTGCACTGCGGCACCCAGCCTGGTGGCGCTTGCAATGAGCCATCTGGCCTCAGCGGGTTTCGTTCTTGCCCTGGAAAGTCCTGCGCTGGTAACTTCCACACCTTCACCGTAGAAGTCGACAGATCAAAGTCTGTAGAAGCGCTTCGCTGGTATGTCGATGGCGTCCAGTTTCACCAGGTTCTTCAGTCACAAATGCCGGCCGCCACCTGGAAGGGGACTGTACAGAAGCCTCACTTCATTTTATTGAACATGGCTATTGGTGGATCTTTCCCCGATGCCATTTACGGGAAGAAGACACCTATCAGTACCACTTTGTCTGGCGGGACGTACGAGGTTGAATATGTTGCTGTCTATCACACTTGATTATTGTTCAAGCATAGACTGCTTTACAATTCACTTCAGGATTCTAGATAGATTTGGGGTTTGTTTGATTGTAGAGTTCAGGATACCACAATAGATATCATTCTAGCGTTTTACTTGACTATTACCAGATCATAGCCTTGTCCTTCTCGAGCTCTTCTCTAGGCCACGACATGAGTTGATAGTCGATGACTATCCCACCCAGCGAATGAGCACTTATGGGGCAACTCGCGTCGCTAGTGGAATACGGAGTTCTGTCTCCAAAAACAATGTCGATCTACAACATAGTTACTTCAGTCGCTTTTGTCCATTTATCATAAGCAATTATGGTGGTCTTGTAGCCGGCGTATTTCTAGACAGTGGGTCACAGCTTGCGCAGGCTCCTGTTCGTGGAGAGAAGTGTCTTTTATTATGACAGATGCTGGCTGGTAGGAAGGAGGCCGAGATAAGAAAGTCATGCTGCGGGATGTGTTATACCCTCCTCCATTGTGGCCCTCAGTAAATTCTGCTCGCGCAGTCATGAAAAGTCACTCCGATGACGCGTGGATTGTTGAGCTTACTAAAACTCTTACTACATCCAATTACTACCCATCCTTTTCTTTCCAATTTGGCATATGTTCACTTGAACACTGGCTTATCTAAGCCCTTGTATCTATCGTCCTCCTCACATGGACGCACCGTTGCCGCAATGACGTGCGACTCTGACCGTTGCAGGACGGTGTGCGGTGTGTCCACGAGCATAAGACATACACTGTGGTGAGAAGTGTCGATCCAGGGACCGCGGCTGTTCTATGACGACATGCTCCAGCTTGCACTGTGACCACGGATTGAACTGACTAGTAGCAACAGCTTTCTTCTGACGACCCGTCCTTGCCTCGACACCACTACCTGGTCATAGCAATGCACTTAAGTAAATGTAGGCCACGATCGAAAGCCATATTCTCTTTCTATATTAATCGCATGAGGCCAATCAGCAATCACTTTGTGCCCATTAATCTCTTTAGTATGAAACGCACTGCGATAGCTGCAAACCTTTCTGGTGGGAGCAAGAATGTCAAGAAACCACGACCGGCAGTACTCGAATATCATTTGACACCCTCGGTCAGGAATGACGATGGCGAAATCGTGTGGCCCGCGCCAGAGAGAAAGATGGAGGCGGCGAGATCCTTCATTCGCGAATGGTAAGTTTGAGAAATCAACGGGCTAGACTGCTGGACTCGTAAATATTGTCGAGGGGTGGTTTCCTCTCACACTGACATTTTACTAGTGTTTCTGCCGGAAAGCCTACGTTGATTGTCCCGGACAAGGACGCCGACGGCCTCACATCTGGGGTTATCTTGGAGCGAACTCTTGTTCTTCTTGGCCTAGATCCATCTCTCATCACTGCGTACTTGCCCCCAAAGGGCCATAACATCCACGACGAAGCGAGCCGGGCAGAGATGACTTCTCTCAAGCCCACCTACATCTTCATCCTAGACCAAGGCTCTCGTTCTTCACCACCTCTCATCGACGACCCCCATCGCGGTATAGTCATTGACCATCATCACGCGCTGATAAACGACCATCCAAAAGACGCGTTGCATATAACAGCCTGCGACTCCCCTCCCGTGGCGACAACCTCTCTACTCACGTACCTCATCTGTCTAGGCCTCCACAAGAGCGTGCGAGAAGCATGTGACTGGCTTTGCGTCATGGGAACTCATGGAGACTTGGGAAATACCTTAAAATGGGAGCCTCCGTTTCCCGACATGAAGTTCACGTTCAAAACGTACACCAAAAAGGCTCTCAACGACGCCGTGTCACTCATCAATGCCCCGAGACGAACTGCCTCGTATGACGTTCCTTCGGCTTGGAAAGCCCTCCGTGCATCAAATTCTCCAAAAGAGCTGCTGAGCAACAGGTCCCTGCTGGCCGCCAGAGCAGAGGTTAACGCCGAGGTCGAACGCTGCACCCACACGCCACCCAAATTTTCTGCCGACGGCCGTATCGCCGTCTTCCGCATCAACTCAAAAGCCCAAGTCCACCCCGTCATCGCCACACGCTGGGCGGGCCATCTATCATCATCCAAGCTTGAGGTTGTGTTGGTTGCCAACGAAGGCTATTTGCCCGACATGGTCAACTTTTCATGCCGTGTCCCTCGGTGTGCTCGAGCCAAGGAGCCGCCAGTGAATATCATTGAGGTTTTGCAGAATGTCGCTGCTCGCGCCGAGGATACGACTTTGAGGGAGCGGTTGGGCGACTCGTTTGCGAGGGGTCATAAAGAAGCTAGCGGCGGGATTGTTCCAAAAGATGAGTTTGAGGAGTTGATGGCTGTCTTGGAAATTGGCAAAATAGTTGAAAGAGAATCCCCGAAAAAGGGGCAGAAGCCAGGGCAGGCGAACACGTTGTTGAACTATTTTGGGAAGAGTGAGATATAACACAAGAACTGAAGAGCTTTCAGATTCCACTGACCGATTTGTTCGTGTTTCGTAGAGCAGGCCTTTGTCTTGTAGTCTGATTCTCTAACCTCTGGACCAACTACACCCCGTACTGCCGCCTTCTGGAGTATCCTACCGTGAAAGCCCTTTTCAGATCATAAAATACAGTCTCTAGAGGCTTCCCAAGGTTTCTTGAGGCCGGATTTGGGTGTACCTCGATGATGTGCCCGAGTGGCGGCCCTGTTGAGCCGAAAGATGTCCATGTCTCTCCAAATGACGCAGGAGCCAAGGTCGTGGGTACCGTCTGCCCAGGGGCCAAATACATCGCAAACTGATTCGGCATGCCATTTCTGGACCGCCGATGTTGCATGGGAACTAAGACTGGCCTGTTTGGAAATTGGTCGACGCTTTCTACTGGTTGATATCGGTCTTTCCGTTCCGGAAGGATTAGTGTAATGCAGCCCAGCTTCCACTCGCCCATGACTGTGGTGGCCTCTGGTTCAACGACAATGTAGTTTTGTTGTCTGGCTTGGAGTCTTATGGGATGGTATAATGGAATTAGAACCGCAATGCCGTGAATGCAGAATTATCAGCGGCCTTCATTAGCTTTATGCTGAAGTGGATAGGCTGTTGATCTGTATCGCTGAATCATGACCGTTGGCCTTTACTCAAGTTATTCCGCCACTGAAAACAGCAGGCTATCTTGTTCTGAATCACCATCGTCATAATTGAGTTATGTATAAGGTAGTAATTCCTCAGTCGTATCTTTGCTTGCGCAAGTAATTCCTGTCGCTCTCGTCTCTAACATTTATCGTTTCCTCAAAAGTATCAAGTCCAGTCTTGCAAAGTCTAGATGTGGGTAATAACTTGTAGTTGATGGGAGACGCCTCATAGTCTGCAACTCACATTCAATCTCTGGTCGTCTTCAAATCACAAATGATTTTGAGTAAGCCTCGGTCAGATTCGATACTTACAAGGTTGTCGCAGTCCATCAACACCACCAAGGCAACACTTGAGAAACCGAATTCTGCTCGCCTTCCGATTCTGAAGGGACCCCACACGGGCCACCTCCGGGGTGGATCCCTATCGCCGATCATGAGCAACGCTGCGCATCGCGCATCGGGATCGCCCGCAAGGATCACTTGCCGTTCACAGCTTTGTGTTCTGGGTCCACGGAGTGCGGGGTCCACAGTTTCCGGATCGCTGCATCCGGAGACCTTTCGCTGTGTTTCCGTTTCCAACTCCGGCAATGCCCCACTCAGCCTTACACTCAGGCGCCTGGCTGTGCCTGAGCGTTCGGGTCGATGGCTGCATCAAAGTTGCAGGTTGAGGTAATCATACAGCTGTCGTCCATCGGATCCATCAAGGCCAAGACAGACCACTCGCCCCAGGTCTATAGCCGACTCATTCAATTCGTATACAACGCCTCATATGCAAAATGTCAATCACCATGATCAAAGAGCAAGCAAGTGTACGCAACTTTCCACGACGTGCATTCCGCACGACGCATATTGTCAGATTCCGATCTCCGGGTATACCTATGCTTAATGATAATAATACAGTTACAACAGTGTGTGCTGAATGTCAAGCAGCTCTGGCTCCTATTTGCGTCTTTGCGCCTGTTCCTGATATGTTCCTGTGTTTCTTGCTTTTTTCCTTTCTGTCTTTATGCAGTTGCTGTCTTCCTAGAAGTGAAGCGATGGCCCCAATCCCGTATCCTTTTGGAGAAACTCCTCTTGATAGGCGCAGGCTCGGGCACTTTTTCGAGTCCGCCCAAATCATCAGACTCGGCCGCATTGTCGGTGGTCACCGACTCGCCACCAAGCTTTGTTTGACGGCGCTGCATGAAGGCAGCGCCGGATGAGAATGTCCTCTTGGGCACAACTGATGCGGGCTGAGTCACTACTTGTTGCTGCACTAATGGCGGAGAGGAGATCCGATTCATTTCCATCGTTGACACAGGAAAGGTCGATGCGCGACTCTGGCAGCTGCTGCCGCTAACAGTACGAGACTGTGCGGGTCGGATGGTCCCCGGCACAGGAGACGCTGCCGACGATGCCCAGCCTTGGCCATGACGGAGGGATACCCATACTGAAGTTACGGTGATAAGGATTCGAGTTGCTTCGTCCACAGGGTGAGTCTCTCGTTGTGTCGCGCCGTGGGATGCTGATGGCGGCGATGGAATACCCTTATCGCCGCTCAAGTCCATGCTGAAAGGTCGTGTAGGAGGATAACGCCCGGAGGATTGTGATACGGTGGTGTAGTTATCCAAGATTTCGAGGTTAGCCGGCGTCAAAGTTGCCATGACGGGGTGTCGACGAAGCTGTGGATCGAGGATGCTGAAAGTAAATTTGTACTCCGAGGGAGCGGTGATCGATGCCGCGCTGCATGTAGCCGTGGACAGAGGGCGGGCACTTCGTCTGGCCCATCTCGCAATTGTCGTTTGGCCAGTTTCATCAACGTGGACGAAATCGTACGACCCATTGCTTGTCTGAGTGGCCGTCCAGACTGAACCGTCCGCCAAAACAATCTCTGTCTGTTCACCAGAATCCCTCCGCTCGCCCTCTTTCCGAGATGAGACCGGCGAGATGACGGCCACCAAGTCGCGCTTATCGAGATCTTTCTCGTCCGAGTCCGAGTCGTCAGCGTTATTGTCGTAATCCTCACTCTTGGCCAAGATGAGGCCATTCATGCCCAGCTGTCCCTTGACCCTGAACATCTTGGGGAAACGTCGTGCGAGGCGGGGAAGGATCACTGTCCCAGCAATCATGCTCGAGGGGACGACATCGATGGCGGGCATGGGCCGCTTGTCGTTCGATAGTTGCTGCAGCTGTAGGAGAAGTCGCGGCCGGATGGAAACGAAGCGTCTCTGTTTCGTACGAAGCTTTGGGGGAGGATAAGCCAGCATGTAGTTGGTACATTGCCTGGCAGCTCGCCTTGTTCTTTTGGATCTTTTTACAGTACTTGTATCGCTAATCTCCGATACTAGGCTGCCTTCGTCTTCGCTCACGCCATCCAGGCCATGTGTTTCGTCACCTACAACGGTAGGTTCTTCCTCGAAACGTACGACGAGGTCCTTTCTTTGGACGAAATCAGATACCGGTCGGATTCTCCGCACGGGGCGGGCAGCGGAGGCGGGCTCTTGTAATGAAAGGCGTCGGTTGACACGTTGTGTTGGCGTCTCGGTCTCGTCAGTTGAAAATGATGATCGCTGAAGCGGCGATGCGCCTAATGATGAGCGTAGGAGAATATGCCTGCGCGCAGGCTGGTTGCCGCTGGTAGCGGTCTTGTTGGAGTATTCGTGCCCATGCAGGCTTGCGCCAGAATGGAGAAACATGATGGTAGTCTGGAATTCAGCGACACGGTGTTGTTGGAATCATGGACGCGATTAAGGCGATAATCCCGATTACAGCCAACGTGCGGTGTCGAGGGACAGTATTTCCAAGTGGAAATGCAGCCAGGAAAGCCGGTGTGGATAAATCAACCGACTGGATGAGGATTGGATCGTCTTATGCGAGGGGTATGAATCGGGCAAGCTCTCCACTTGCAGTTCGCCAAGGAGGGGGTGGATGCTGATGCAGACGCGGATGCTGGTAGCGGTGCAGTGCAGGTCGGGTCCTGGGGATTCCGTTCTGAGTGGTTTAATACCGCAAGGTGCGTTACACTGGTCTCGAAGTGTGCTCTACGTGTGATCGATCGCTACAGTGACTGGCAAGTCTGGTCGACACGGCGACAAATGTGAATGATTGCGGCAGAGGCGTTGAGCGAGGCAGCAACAGAACAAAGAATAGAGAGAAATAGGGGACGACGATGCTGGAGAGCAGGTTATGGGGGGGAATGCGCGGCCTACAAGTACATCATCTAGCGTCAGCCCAGAAACACCTTCTCTGATGAGGCTCAGGGAGCTATGCTGTATTTGGCGGGGCTGCAGAACAGAAGGCTTTTGAATGGCTTGAGTGGCTTGACTCGTGAGCGGTCAGTGGCCCGAGGACCCAGTTGGCCTTGTGTGTCCGTGGGCGCGGGATGGGCTGAGCTGAGGTGACGAGAGCAAAGAGAAAGACGAGAGACTTACAAGATGCTTGAAAAGTAGGGTTCGGTGTCCAATGAGATCGTGTGATGGCGGGACAGGTTCTTGGTTGACCCGAGCGGCGTATCCCGAGATGAAGGAGCGGTGATGGAAATCCGTACGTCGTGCCTTGTAGAAGAGAGGGGAAATCGACAACTGGTCAAGCTGGCAGAGCCTGGGCTAAACAGGATGGAATTCGTTTACTGCGTGACGTCTGACTTTCCAAAGTTGATGGAAGAGGAATTTCGGGTCGTTGAAGAAGAAGAAGGCTGCCGCGTAATGTCGTTTGTCTCTCGTGGAATTCGTAGTGTAGGTACGTTGAATATACCTAGTTGAGTAGGAAGGAGACTGAAAAGGCTGGCGAGATATGCGGAAGGAGTTTGGCAAGAGGGTCCTAGATGCAGGAGAGTGGTTGGAAAGAGAGGTCAAGGAGGAGTGGATGGCCACCAGGGTCCAGATGTATAGATGTAAGTTGACGGAAAGGCGGATGCAAGAGCAGGGTAGCCCGAGGCAAGGGTTGAAGGGTAGCTCGGGGAGGCACGCTAAGGTATCCGAAGAGCAGAATGGAAAAGACGGTAAGGTGTGAACCCCGTTCGTGTGTGCCGGAATGCGAAGTACCTTTACTGGGGGTACAGTAGGTACTTGACAAAGGCGAGGCGAGGCGAGGATGTCAAGTGTTGTGTTGGAGCCGGTTTGCGAGGTGGGGAGATGGAGGGACGGAGCCGGAAAGGATGATATCAGGGCTCTTCACTTTTGGCTTTCTCTCTCAGGTCCCCAGCGAGTGTCGGAAGCGCTGTGGAGGGGGAGTACTTCAGGAGGGTGAGTGCTGATGGATTGGTAGGTGTTTAGTGTGGAAGAGTGGGTGTGGGCGTGCGAGTGCCGTCTTTTGTGGTGGCCGAAGGGAAGAGACGGGAGAAAGGTCGAGGCAGAAGAGAGGGGAGTCCCTGTCTTTCTTTGAGAAGAAGCGATCGCAGACGCAGCGGGAACCTGGAATTGGAGGTGGAATGGTCGCCGTTTGGTTTGGTTTCTAGTTCGGCGGACTACGTAAAGTATCCGTTCACAGTAGAGTCGGGGTACGTACACACTACCAGGTGCGAGGGTCGATGTTAGAGAAGAGGAGAGGAGAAGAGATGAGAAGAGAGAAAGGATGTGTGTTGCCTCTGGGGCAATAACAGGGCGAACCGGCCTGCCGTCGGAGAAGAGAAGAAGGACGGGAAAGACGGGGGGAAAGAAAGTTGAGAGGTTGGGCGCCGAGAGAGAAACGGGGATGGAAAATGTGCGAAAGAGAAGAGGAAGAGAAAAACCAAGACCCGACGAGAGCAGAAGAAGAAGACGAAGTTGAAGAGGTGGACTTGGAATGGAATGGGAAAGGGAACGGGAGTTGCAAGGTACGATAAGGTATGGGGTACGTATTGCTAGGTAGAAAGGCCGCAGCGGAGATATGTATCAAATACGTACCTTTTCTTCGGTTTGCATCCAATTCCAAGGAGGAAGTGACGATGTCCAAATGAACCTGGGCTGCCCAGAAGGAGCGCAAGCAGGGGGAAATGGGGGGAAGGAACCTTAAGGACCCAAATCGAATTATGGGCAAGAGCGGTGCTATTACCGTACTGCTCGACACGGATACCTCTGGATACAGGTACTTACCTTACTGAGCCACCAGCCCTGGGCGAGAGGGGGCACTGGGGAGGCGAATTCCGGCTGTCTCTGTTGTGAATTGAACTTGTGCAGCCACCTCAACCTGTGCAAATTGGATGCTGTACCTAAGTAGCCTAAGTACTGCAACCCGGCACTGTCAGTGAGGTAAGTCTGACATATGCGCTGCCAGTGCTCCAGAAGTCTCTTCTGACTCTTGGGGGTCGGGCACGTCCTGTGGTCCCGCCGTGTCCGCTTGGAAATGTACACTACTCGCAAATACGTACCTACTTTCGCAAAGCCCCTCAAAGCGGAAATTCAGGGGAAGCATCGTGGAAGACCAGGAATGTAATTCGTAAATCCTCGCTGACTTCGGCAAACACTCTTCCAAACTACCTACTGTGTTACTCCGTTCAGACTCACAGCCTCGTGACCCCTCGTGTGACGACTTCAAGTTGGCACTTGAGAGTTCGGCTGACAATCGAAAGTCCCTATCAAGCCAAGAAGCATCGAATGAAGCCATGAAATTTGTCCGCTTCTTCGGACTCCCTCTCTCTCTCTCTCTCTCTCTCTCTCTCTCTCTCTCTCTCTCTCTCATATAGCCCGCCCATCTCCATATCACACTACAAGGCCCCGTCCATCGAACGACCGCGAATAATGGAGCGCCCGCCAACGTGGTGACGACGGCCATTTAGCCAAACCCGTGCCGTACCTAGTACGAACCGAAAAGGCCCCTCCCCCCCTCTGGTCCCTCTCCTCTGCATCATACTAAAGCACCCTGTTTAGCTGCCTCTCTCGTCGACGCGTAATTAGGTATTGCTTTGCGTAGGTAGTCAACACATTCACCAGCCCAGCCTGGCATGGTGGCTTTGCTCTACTTTCACATCTAGCCCGGCCGTTTCGATGTGGCGTCGCCTGGTCCAGTCTTCTGCGGAATGTGCTGTGCTATTCTGTGCTGTAACTTCAGCCTGGCTTGCCCAAACTAGTACACAAAAACTGGCAAGGAAAGAAAGAAAAAAAAAGGCCCCACGACACTGACAAGGTACCGAATGCCGCCTCCACATCGTCCCTGTATCGGCTCGTCGGCGACCTGCGAGATTCTAGATCGGACGGGACGGGGTTCCCTCTCCGACCGTCTCTGAACGAGAAAGAGTACTGGCCTTTCGCAGCCCCAACCTACCTATTTGCAGTCTGCCCTTGGCACAGCATCTTCGCTGACCGTCGGTGATGACGAGCTCCCTGACGGAGGAGGGGCCAGCTCCAGACCAGTGCTGATGGCCACAAGCCTCTCTCTGCGTATCAGGTCCTTCTGTGCGTTTGTCTAGAGACCTATCTTGCTTCTTTGCTGAAATATCGTATCCAGAGAGCAGTCCTCTTGCATCTGTGTTGCACAGATGATGACAGACAGCAAACTGTGTTTGTGTTTACGTAGTGTTTGATGGGTGTCGCCGGTAAGGGCTGGACCTCCAGAGATGGATGGTTGCTCGAAATCTTCAGCCTTTCGAGTTTCTCCTCATCTGAGGCTTGCCGCAAGAACTACCTATCAGTCTCATCACATAACTTTCCCTATAAAACACGGCTGCCGAAGGGGAGGTGCCCGGAAGGGTGTTTACACACAACCATGTCTTCTAGTTTCTCATCCAGCTAACCGGGGACCACCATGGTAGCGCAGCTATATTCAGTTGGCTCACGTACCAGTTGCGCGTCTCGTTCACCCCTCCCGCCGCGGGAAGGGTTATCCCGAGTCCAGTCAAATGAACTGCGGGCTGCTGTGAACCACTCGACTAGGGAAGCCAGGCGAACCAGCATATCGGGAACCGTCGATCTGCTTTCGATTCGCAAGGCGTCGGTCAGAAGGGCGGCGAAGAAACACTCCCGACCCCAACTCCGTTCATCCAACACCCGTCCGTCTCACAGTAAGAAGGCCGGACTCCTCCCAATCCCGTTGAAATAAGAGGCGGCAGATACTCCGTAAGTCAGACCACTTTGAGAGGTCGCCGTAGCTCCGACTTTCAGGGCACATTGTTGGTGTCCGTCAGATGTTCTCTACGCGACTGACCATCTGGATCACTGGAGCTCGGTTTGTCGCTGCGATCGGGCGCTAGGCCAGTTAAGAGCAGACACACGCCGGCTGCAGTCTCGCGTGGGTGAGGTATGGTGGATTCGTGCTCGGATTGGATAGACGGCTAACTCGGGTATCCCTTGCAAGTTGACCTGGCAGGGTACGAGGGTTCATCTTCCCTCCACGAAAGGGGATGCCATGCCCACATGCCACAGGACTGGGCATCCCAAGATGCGCAAGCCGTATGTGTTACTTGTGCGTAGGAATAGTGCGTCTAGAGGGGGTGGGGGGGATTGGGCAGTATCCTTCTCCTCCTTCTGGTTCTTCACCGTGCAACTGCCTCAAGGATTGGATGTTCATTGTGGCGGGTGAAGCATACCTCTATCGGAGCACCTCACAAGTATCAACCGTAACAAAAGCTCGGCTCGTACCCAGGATTAGCAGACGTTGATTTGGGCTGGCGACCAACCTGGAACCGTAGGGTCGACAACACCACTCAGAAGTAGGGACGGGTTGCGGAAGACGGGCGCCGTCACAGACGAAGGGTTAGCCTTTCAGCGCGGTCGCAGTCAGGGCGTGAGACGTCTCGAGCCGGTGGAAGTCCTAGATCAGACCGTCCCACGAATCCACGATAGGCGTCCGCACCTTTTTGTACCTACTGCACCTGACGAACTCTGAATGCACGCCGAGGCTGCCCTAGCCGTGACACGTTGCAGGCCGACTGTTGCTGCTCAGAAGCAGTAATGTCGAGTCGATGGCATGTGGAGGTCCTGCTTGTTTCGTTTCCAGCGCTTGTTTCGCGCCATCGCAACCAAAGCCTCCCGTTGCGGTGGCCCAGAAACAAGAATTACCCGGAACGCCCAATAATTGCGCTTATTGTGTCTACTGGGCCCAACGAGCCCGGCTGGTTAGGGCCGTCTGAACAAAAAAATGTCTAGCCACGCTGTGCCTGCACTTGGGGTGGCGATTAGTGTCCCTCGAACGGTAAAGCTGGTTAAGGTGGGCAAGACCGGCTCTGATTCTTGAACCTCAGCTCTCGACTGGATTGAAAAAGTTGGCTAGGAGGAACTACTGCGGCGAGTTGTCTTGCCAATGTTCCGCCAAGGAAAGCAGCCGGGACAGGTTCAGATACTCAGTGCCTAGATAGACAAGAGGGCCTTGATGGCTCAAGATACCGGTGGGTATTGCTGCAGCCTGCGATATGGCAAATGCGCATGGCAGTCTCGGATTTGGGTCTGCAAGATTGGCGGCGGTGCTTCAGTGTCGGTCGATTCGTTCAGTCGTCAAACGAGATGCCGTAATGCAACATCAACGCCTCTATATCGATCGTCGAATAGCAACAGCCTATTCCAAGACATTTCAAGATATGGAACAGCGGTGAGATCCAGGGTATCCGTACGTATTTAGGTATTGTCTCCGTCGAGTGCCCAAATGTCCCGTATGTTTGGGCAAATAAGTGTCGTGCACCGAAGGAGCAGTAGGAGCTCGCCGCATCGACGCCATAAGCTGTGTGATACCTAGTTACAAGATTGTCGCCGGCGAAGCCGCAAGTCGGCCTAGGCATCAATGGGTCGGGCGATGATGAGCATGCTGATCACTGAAGCTGGTCAGCCCAGCCCAGCCATTGGATCCCTCGCTTTTACCTCACTCGAGGTTGCGGACGATGCTCCATGTCATCGTCAGCTTCCGCAAGCGAGTGCGGCTGTAAGTGTAGGGTAAGCACCAGGCACAAAGTACCGCCATGATCCCCAGGCCCATGATCTGGTGTCACTTGACAGCATCAGCGCCCTGTCGCAGAGGGATTGGTGTCACAGAGCCAAGGTTCCAGATAAGGTATCCGGAGCTGTACGGCTGCCACCGTGCAAAACCCAAGCTATGATACCTAACAACCTTAGATCAAGCAGCGGGCGTCCGTAAATGTAGCTGTGGAGGGGAATATGTGGCTTTCAGTGGCCTGTAGCCCCTAGGACAGTAAGTGTCCGCCCTATAAGAGCCGCGTTACAGTACTTTGGAGTGAGTAAGGTAAGTAAGGCGTTGTTGTCTGGAACGGGCACGAACGGAGTCAACCTGGGAGTGAAGATAATGGGCCCAGACGCAGTGGCCAATCCGGTATGTGCCAGTGGTGCCGAACGGACGCGGATTGACAGTCTGGTGACAGTCTCTCAAGGGCGAAGGGTCCTCCTGGGTGCGAAGCTTAAAGGAAAAGTCGGGGACTGGCTGTGTCTCTTGGTGGTGTCAGCAGCAACGTTCAGGGCCGCCCGCAATAGAGTTGAGCACTTCTCTCTCTCTGTCTCTCTTGGAGGTCAGACGAAAACACCTGAGCGTGTTGGAGCTGAGAACAAGGTTGGAGGGGTTCGTCATCCTGCTTTGTGCTGTCGTACACTACCGTAGTGAGTCCTGTGCTTGAAGGGAGCAGGGGAGGCCATGTGAAACAAAGCAAACAACGACTTCTCTGCCTGGCAGCCGCAGGCCAAGTCCCAGCTCCGGGTGCTCACGGCCGGTTCCGGCTGCGAATTGCCTGTTGCGGAGGGCTTATGTAAAGTCAAGGGGCACATGACGTTCAGCTTCGGCTCGCAAACATGGAACGTTCACGTAATCTACCGTACCTATCAGTACCTTAGTACCTTAGTACCTAATCTAATTGTGAGTCTTCACTTTTTGGAAGGACCCGAACTGCCTGTACCTACTTCCTTGGAGAAGCCACGCGGGGCTGTGAGCTCGAGGGAGGAAGCAGGCGAGGGCGGAGGAACGGCGCAGTGGTGCTTTCCGCTCCGATGCCGATCTACCAGAAAGAACCGGGGCCGACCTGCCTTGCTGGACGGAATGTCACCTTCCCACCTTCTTTCCCACCCTTAGTTCTTTCCCGCCATGAATACCTTATGTCATCATGTTACCTTTGGATGTCAATGTCCGATCTATCAGGCACCTCCTCGCAGCCCTAGGTACCTTATTCCTTCTTTCCTAATACCCAAGTACTCACAGATCCCCAAATACATACCTTAGGTATTACCCTATGTGCTTATGCAGATGCGCCTGACACATTTCAGATGTGAGAGATGGTCTCAGTCACATGCAGCTTGTCCCCTTTCCTTTTCCCTTCCCTGCGTAGGTACCTAGGCAAGCGTGACGGCAAGGGAAGGTAAGGTAAGGTAAGGAAGGTGTTGCCTAACTTGCATTTGCACATGCTTCAAGCCGCCGTCCATCTGAACGATCACTCAACTTTTAAGCGCGAGCTGGGTTGGATCTTAGTAGACGTCAAGTGACGAAAGACGAATCTGGACCAGCCGCCAGCCCGCCCTCCTCCACCCTTCCGCATGCCGTGCCGGCTGGAGTGCAGCGGATCTGCCGGGACTTGGCTCATTGGACAAGTTTAAGCCTGTTCCAAGCACTCAAGTGATTGAAAACAATGCTGGTGGCTGCTCGTCTGCATCCATGGCCAAATCTTTCTTCCTGTTGGTCCCTCACCCACTCACTTCGGTCTGCACGATGGATCGATGGCTGCATGTTCATGCCCAGTACTGGGCGTCCTGGGACCACCTTCAGTCCGCATATAGCGGTAAGCAAATGCTGCAACAGCGGATAACTGATAGATTAGATAAGTACTCCGTAGACATCAGATTAAGGAGACAGGCCAATATCCAGCCAGCCTCACCCTCCCTTGAACGCATGGCCCGGCCCATGCAAGGTGGTGCGGCGCACCTTGGTCTTGGCACGCATCCCGCTGCCATACCCAGAATGGGCTGTGCAGGTTTTTAAGCAATGAGCATCGAATACTCCGTACCGACGTGATGCTCTTCATTTTACTCTCGTCAAGCTGGAATGCACTCGATGGAAACTCAGGGGAAGAGAAACACGGGGCGGCAAATTCAGGGGATGAAGCTCTCCTGTAAGAGGTTCCAACTTCACCCATCGCCCACGGGTGGCCCTGGGCGAGCCCTGGCCAGTGGAACGGTGGAACCTGGTCCGAGACTTCGCCACACCTTCCTCGCACACTGATCCTGTTGCGGCCAAAGTCGACCAAACTTGTGCTCACAGCGCCGTGGGCTGAGCGGTCTGCCTGCTTCAAGGGGCTTTTCAAAAGGCCTCTCCGCTGTTCTAAGGCCCTTGAGCCCTGGACTACAGACTCTCCACTGCTGCGGAGAGGGGCACAGGGGGGATAAAGGAGGCTGGAATCGAGAGGGGCAGTCCACTGGTTTCCGCTAATTACAATCCTGGTAACCAGTCACGGGCGACATGGTCTTGAAGTTTGGACTCCCGGTCTATCTTCAAGCCTTGACAGCCAGGTGGACACTGGCATCCGCAATCAACGGCTGGTCCCATGGAGACGGATGCTTGGAACGCTTCGAGAAGAAAGAAAAAAACAGAAAGGGCTGAAAAAAAATGGAGGAAGAAATTTTCGTCTCACCCACATCGTCAACATTTAGATCGGATCAAGACCCGCTCGCATTGTACTGACCCCGAACTCCGCCTCGGCGGGATGTCTTCTTAGGTACTGTGCAAAGTCTTTTGAATGGATGATACAGGCACGCAGGATTACCTACCTACCTAACCGGGCCTACGTAGTAGGTAGTAGGCTCACTCGTAGGTAGTCAGTGGTGTAGCCAAAGCGATGCTGAACAGAGAGAAGAAGGAAAAAGAAATCCGAACCAAAAAAAAAATTAAAAAATTTGCGGATGGTCTGTGCATTATCGCCGCACACCGAGTCACCGACTGAGCCGGCTCACCGAAGTCACTCGGCGGTTGCAATTGGCCACAGTTGCTCCCGTCCGTCCCGGCGCGGCTGAAGCTCCCCTTCCGTTAAACCTCGCCTCAAGTCCTCCCGTCCAACGTGATAAACGGCAACGTCAAGGCAAAGGCAACGCCAGCCAAGGGTTCATCCACAATTATCACTACCACCACGGCAGTCAAACTTTGTCTTCCTTCCCAGAGTTTTCCTGCAGTGGAGCTCTTGCCACTCTTTCTGTCCGTTGTCAGCTTGTGATTGTTACAAATTCCGCCGCCTTGGCACTTCGCGGACCTTCACTCGCGCCCCGGAATCGCGGCATCTCCCGCTCCTCGACCTACCCTCGACTTTGCCCGACGTCATCACAATCATGTTCTCCCGCCATGACTCTCAGCCCCGTCAGACCTTGATCACCGCTTTCGTCGCCTGGAAGGCCCTCCTACTGGCCATCGCCCTCGGCAGCGCTGTGACGCCATCTTACGATACTTCGACGACGTTGATGCTCCATCGCAATGAGTCCGACATCTCCCTCGTCACCCGCCTGACGCGCTGGGACGCTCTCTACTTCACCCAATCCGCCAGACGTGGCTACGTGTTCGAGCAGGAATGGGCTTTCAACGCTGGTCTGCCACTCGTCGTCTCGGGCCTGATCCGGGTCGCGCGCCTGCTTGGCTTCGAGGGCGATGGAACCGGCGCGTTAGAAGCCGCCTTCAGCATCGTTGTCGCTCACGTAGCCCATCTATTGGCCGCTCTTATGCTGTACGAGTTAACCATCAAGCTCTTTTCTCGACCTCGATTGGCATTCCTATCCGCTTTGCTCCACATCTTGTCTCCGGCCGGCCTATTCCTCTCAGCACCATACGCAGAGAGTCTTTGCGCCTTCTTCTCTTTCGCCGGCTACTACGTCCTTGCACATGCACCGGCGTCCACCAAGGGATCGTTTTCATGGGTTACGGCTCAGATCCTGGCCGGCGCCATCTTTGGTCTTGCGACGGCCTCTCGGTCAAACGGCCTCCTGAACGGCCTCCCCTTCGCCGTCGATTGTCTAATGATCCTGCCCCCGCTGCTGGCCAGCCCTACGAGCTTGGAAAACATTGCGGCTCTGTTTGGTTCTGTCACAGGCGGGCTCCTCGTGGCAACGGGCTCCGTTGTACCACAAGCGCTTGCTTGGCTGCGATACTGTTCCGGCGCATCCGAGGCGCGCGCATGGTGTGAGCGGACCGTGCCCAGCATCTATTCCTTTGTACAGGAACATTACTGGTATGTACCCTTGGCGCTTCACCGTCGTTTTCTCTCTTTGAGAAATGAAAATTTCTCTCCAGCCCTACACTAGCCATGGGTCTGGTTATCCTTGACTCTTGAGTCACCCCCTCCCTCCTTCCTTCCCTTCCCTCGGGCCCCGTCAAGTGCTTTGGATCGGTACTTGCGGAGATTTGAGGTGGGATCTGTGTTTTATGGGATCGTGAATGTCACTTGGTTCCTTCAGATTCTGTTCTCACTTGCTAATCTTGGATCACGCAGGGGCGTTGGCTTGTTCCGGTATTGGACGCTATCGAACGTTCCTCTGTTCATTCTTGCCGCGCCGGTGCTAGGACTGCTCATGGTGTCCGGGTGGGAGGTCATCATCAGGCCTTCGGGGTTGGCGCGGAGTCCGACGGCGGAGCAGCAGCAGCAAGGGCAGAAAGGCGCGACGTCGGTTTTGGTGGCCTCCATGGCCGCTGCCCAACTCCTGCTTGCCGCCTTGGCGATCACGACGTACCATGTCCAGATCATCACTAGGATCGCGTCTGGGTATGCGGTGTGGTACTGGTGGGTTGCCGGCTCTCTGCTGGACAACGGGGCCGACGGCAAGAGACGGGACGTTGGCGGCAAAGTTGTCATTTTTTCGGTAATGTACGCTATGATTCAGGGTGTGTTGTTTGCGTCGTTTCTACCGCCTGCTTGAGATACCCCGGGTTCTGCCGCTGCGGCGCATGGATCTCAGTTCAACCTGTTCATCATATTGAATAAACTTTTCTTCTGGCATCGAGTCCCATGACGGGGGGTCCTTCTGAATCCAACGCCTTTCACTGGAAATGGGATGATGACCAAGAATGTTGGCCACTTCGGATAGCCTGGAAAGCTCATGGACCCTTATCTGGGCCCTGGCTTTTGCTGGCAGGTAAGCCAAGCAAACCTAAAGCCTTGTGCATGAGGTGTAGTCAAAGCAATGTGACTCAAGCATGAAGGGTGATGCCATGCTTCCCGAGGTCGGTTGACGTCTCTGGCATGTTCATGACATCTATATGCCAACAACATTTGTGTTCTAGGGTATCTCAGGGTCTATGATCGCGATGAAAGGCTAATATGGGATGAGACCCAAGTCTCGAGGGACCTTGTAATGGCTCGACCTGTTTCTGCGCCTCTTTCTCGCATCATAGTAAGTACGAGAGAAGGACTGCAGACTGCAGTAGGAGTGACCTCCCGACCTTGGTTCAATGGTGGCCTATTGAAAGGTTCGAAAATGATCAAGTGTGAACATCCTATTCTTGGTTTTCTGTTTGGAAAGTTCTAAGTTCCGAGTAGATGGCCTATCGGTTAAATGACCTGAGAGAGCCTCAAACGAGAATGCAGCACGACATTATTTGTGACGGTCTACACAGATATATTCCACAAGCACGATATTCGGGCTGGATCCCTTATGTTTGAGATGCAGCATACAGTCGGCGGCGTGGCGAATATCGTGGAACATCGTACACTCTTAAAGAAAGAAGTTTCAGCCTTGTAACTAGTAGCTCGTCGTTCTTGATTCGGCTTGTCAAGCGACCTATCAAGATCACAAAATAACAAGCAGGGAATAAAGCCATTTGTGCGTAGTTTTTTTATTGCCGGGCTGGATGTTCATTCCGGGTAGAACATCAATAAGGCCACGATAGCTGCCATACCCCGATGGCATTTTCGTGGTAACTAGACATGATCAGCATGAAATCATTCGCTCTTGAGACTGAGGTAAAACGCAAACTTACAGGGCCCCCTTCATGAGCCTGCGTCGGGACATCTCCAGCCTTGGACTCCATTTCATCTCCTAGCTCAGACTCGCATTGGTGACGGTTATCTGTGATGTTAGATGCATCTTCTAACAAAACAATGATTAGTCTATACGTGTGAATGATATGAATAAGGCCGGCAGTGCCTATACTGACAGAAAAGCTATTCGCAAGAGGATAGGCTTGGCCCCAACGACGACCCTTCTACTGAAGAAGCTTTTCCTTGAGCTGTAAGAGGTATACCGAGGTGCGAGCATTACTCTCCGTCTTGAAGATGAATCTTTTCTTGAAGCGAGCTTTCTTGCGCTCAATGTCACGATCTTGGCGGAGGACGTTATCGAACCGGTGAGCTTCTAGCCAAAGGCGCAGGAAAAAGGATATGGAATCCGTAAGGGGATTAGCCTCGCCAACGACGAACTTGATGATTCGCATCTCTTTATCATCGCCAGAGACCGCTGCGTTATTGCAGAAAATGTGCTTGGAACGGTTAGCAACGTAACCTTCGGTACGCGCCAAATAGGCTCAAATGGCCTGGTATCGATAATCAGAGTTGAAGAAGCCTGTCATCTGAAGGAAGATGCAAAGCTCGTTACCAGTCATAGCGAGGGCCTGTTGATGATTGCCAACGACCAGGCGGATAGCGAAGGCAATACGCTGTTTGGGATCGTTCACTGCGGAGTTGATTACCTCGTACTTGAAGCCGTCGGAATTCTGACGAGAGTAGCACACGACGGAGGTGCCGAAGTGATCAGGGAGCGGTCCCAGGAATTGCAAAAGCAGGTGGCCATGACGCTCCTCAGACTACAGGTCGTCGATGGTTTCCTCATCTCCCGGTTCACTGATCAGACCGTCTACGTTATTTTATCACAAGCCAATCAATCACCTACCTCGTCCGGGACGCAAGGGGCCCAGTCGCCATGTCAGATGAAGCATTTCTCAACTTCCCACTTGACCTTGGCTCTGGTACAGTTAGTTATCACGTACGCAAAGTCAGGGGTGGGTGTGGTTGGGGGATGGCAGAGGTTGGCCGGTGTGGCCACTGTTCTCTGGTGTGATGACGCCGTGTTGGATGAGGAGAACGTGTTATTGTCTTGCGTTGGTGATGGAAGGAGCTTCCCTCACCTTCAGAGGGCAGAAAGATTTGTGAAAAGGTGTTCAAAAGTGGCGTGTATTCATTGGGACTTGACAAGCCTCACTACCTTATCTCATTGGTATATCCATTCACCTCCGTATACGTGCGCGATCTGTTGGAAGTCATGGTCTTCGAGCTGGGCTATTGGTTTCTTTGCCAGCATTCACACAAGGTTTATTGATCAACCTTGAAAGGCCATGAGCATACTTATCAAACACCAACAACAAACAGCTAATAAATATATACTTTTATCATTGGTCTACATGCTACTATCTAAAGGTACAGGGAGGTCTGATGATGAAGGCTAGGGGTATAGGGTCTAAATTAGGTATGAGTAGGTTGTTAGCAGGACGAGCAGGCTCTAAAATTGCCACATCGTCCTCATTAGGGTTATATGTGAACCTGAAAGTAGAGTCCATGAATAACGGAGACTTTATAAAACACATCGCTTAGTCGCTGTCCTCGTCGCGGCCTGGCCATACGAGCTTTCTTCTGATGACAGCACGGGCACAGCAAAAGCCAACAAACAGCCAGACTGCGACCAGCGCAATGGTGAATACCGTGGCTAGCCACAGCAAGCCCTCGTTGCCGAAAGCCTCACCTATGCGGATGGTGGCAATGGTGAAGCCGACGTTGGGGAAGACGAAACTCCACCAGCTGAGGTGGAAGGAGTGATCGGGCATGCCAAACATTGTAGAGAGACAGGCGGAAGAGAAGAACCAGAACGACAGGCCCCACAGGAAGACGGCGGTAAACAGGGCCACGGCCCTTACAGCGAATGCGACGGTGCCTGGGTTATCCATGCCATACAGATAAGCCGCATCACGGAGGGAGTCGGAAATGATGGACCCCTCGGAGGCGATGAGCCGGGGCACGTTGGCGCCCATGGCCACCAAGGCTGCGGCGGTGAAACTCGGCGGCCCGACTGCGATGAACATACCGGGGCGTTGGACGGGGAGACCAATGGTCATGAGCCTGGACAGATACGTCGCGTACATGAAAGCCGAGACGAGGAAGCCCAGCCCCTGAGCCGCGAGACCTGCGCCCAGCATGGCAGCGGCTTGATTTGGTGGCTGCGACGAGGCCATGAAGCCCGCTAGTGTACCTGACAGCATGACGGGAAAGATGGGCAGAATCCAGGCCGGAGTCATGCTATCCAGGGACAGTCTCCTGCGGCCGGTGAAGAGGAGGTGGTACATGCCGACAGAGGCGAAGAAGGTGACGACGAGATAGATCCAGAAGCACACCCTCAGCGTGACGATGAGCCACGGGCCACATTTTGGAACGGCGTAGTGCTGGATATTCGAAAGGGCGGCAGCAATGGATAGGAAGAAGGTTGGGATGAAGAGGGATTCAGAAGGATGCGTGATGGCTTTTGCCGGCGTCTTTCGGAAGAAGGAGAAGCGGAGGCAAAGAGCCAACGTGATGAGAAAGATGAGAACGATGTCGAGGAGGAAGACGATGAGGCCTATGGTGTCGAGCCCGCGGAAGCGGTGCGGAGTCTCGGCGAGGAGGAGGGCGATGCCGCCTGTTGACATGCTGTGTGGAAGGTGTCAGTGAGATGCAGGGGGTGACGGGGGCTAGGCGGGTAAGCCAGCGCGGGAAGCCGTCGGCTCGGGACGCGGCATGAGACATACGTTAGGGTGTACCATGCAAATGTGAAATGGTGGATGCGTTCGCGCAGAGAGACCTTTTCCAAAAGTGTGTTGGTTCTGCTCTTTGTGCGGGAGAGGGTGGCCATGAGGGCATTCTGAGGTGGCTCGTCTGAGATTTGGCCCTCGTCCCTGGTCCGGGTCGAGGCCTTGGAGACGACATCTACGATAATTATGTGAGTGCATGAGACTAAGTATGAGAATGAAAGGATAATACTGACTTAATGGTTCGTCTGTGGCAGCCATTACGATGGATTTGACATGAGTAAACTGAGTCTTGTGAGGTTCTCTTGCTGAGATTGATGAGTTGTGAGAATCGACTGATTGATTCTTTGAGGCAACTAGGTCGCGATTCCTTGTTCGAGGTTCCCGGCGCTCAGATGATCGACGTCACTGCACTTCAGTAACCGATGGGGATGGCCCTACGTTAAATTTAGAGTCTGCAGCAGATGAGTCAGCCAACCTTTGCTGGGGTTCCAGCCTGCGGGTCACGCCAACGAGTCGGTATTGGAGTGATGAGAAAAGGGGCGGTCGTATGATTTGAGTATTTTTAGGCTTTTGTTCCTGGGATGCGAACTGGCTGGTCACTGCTCGGCGGGAATAACGAGCCATGCGTAAGGCAAGTAAGAATGGACAGCGGTCTGGAAAATTCTTGATCGGCAGGGCCGAATAGAGGCCGGGCAACGGTTCAATACGGAGGCGGCGAGCTAGGAAGGTACTGCCGGCGTGGCGCCGTGCCATCGGGTCTAAGGGGTCTTGAGCGGGACGGATGCATGGGTACTTTCCAACGGATTCTTAGGGAACAGACCGATATCATCGTGTGTCGCAACCCTGAACTTTGAGGAGGTCGAAGGAGGGGGGGGGGGGATGGTCTCATATCATCTTAGGTAAGAGTAGAGACATTGCTTTTTCTCAGTCTCCCATCACGAATGACCGTCTATAGATGTGAAGTAAGCAATAGGCTATCCGTCTTTGAAGACTGGGTAGGTGAGTTGGGACGTCCCTCGCATGAACAGCCTTAACCTTGAGTGTTGGCAGAGGCGAAGTTACCATGCAGGGGCTTTTGGTGGCCATCAAATGCTTAAAATCTGGAGAATTCGGCATTTGTCGTGACTTGCCAAACAAGGGACGATAA